AAAAAAAAAAAAAAAAAAGGTCCTGCACTCACCAGGTGCTGCAGCACCTGTAGGGGCCTCTGGGAACTTGTGGCAGAGCGCCCCCATGCAGCCAGGGGCAGTGGTGTGTGTGTGTGTGTGTGTGTGTGTGTGTGTGTCCCCCTGCCTGGCAGGAGCCGGTGAGTGCAGGGCTTTATTTTTATGTGTGTTAAAGCACCAGGATGCTGGGGCCAGATGGGGCTGGGAAAGCGGGCAGGGGATGGGGCCTGTTTGATTTGGCAGTGGCTGAATCTCCGAATCAGATTCAGCCGAATCGATTCGGGTCAGGTGATTGGACTCACTGAATTGCTGTCCCCTGAATCATCCGAATCTGAAGCGATTAGTAGCCACTTTGCACAGGCCTAGAAAACAGCACCTGTTTGTGTAATGGGGCAATCATAATACATGTGTACAAAGTATTAAGGTTGCACAAATGTAAATATTTCTGTTTCTGAATCCTTGGCTGTTAATTTTTTTCAACCTTTGTTCTTTCTAGGCAGTGGATTTTTTAAATTTTATTTTTTATATTTTATTTCTTTATGGGTAATGTGCATAATAATCCATCTTGGTCTGATGCTCAATTGACTGCAGTTTTGCTTTGTGTCAGTAAATACTAATTACGATATTCTCTAAAGCAACACTTTCTTAAACGCCTTGTCTAATCTGTAAATTGATAAACTTGCTACAAAATATTAGTTAATATTAGTTGCTTTTTTGATTGGGTTAGTAATCCTAAAAAAGTTTTATATTTTAGTTGAAGAAATTGCTTTGTTCAATAGACATATGAGGTACTATTGACTATAGATATAAACTAACCTTTTAAGGTGCTTGTAGAAACCAAAAACTAGTATTTCATTAAAATATCTGCACAACAGTGTGAAGTATGTAGTAGAATTCAAACAGTGTTTGAGTAAGGTGTAACCAAATTTGAATGTACTTTCTTAATTGTGAAATCCAACTTTGTGCTTCTCTGTGTTGACTAAGCCAACCTAATGCTAGTGTATCCTTGTCTATTTTCCTTTACTGCTTTCCTTGGCTGCTGTGTGGTTTAGCTCTCTCCAAGCCCTACTCCCGCCTCTCAGAGTCCCAAGAAACCTCCAACAAAGGACCCGTTAGCAGATCTTAACATCAAGGATTTCTTGTAAACAATTAAAGGTATTCTGTAGCTATGTCTGACTTTGAAGTTTCCTGTGCTCTGTATTAGGGGTGTGCGAAATGGGCCCTATTGGATCGGACTCAGCCCGAATCAGGGACAGTGATTCAATTCGTTGATTCAGATCACTGTCCCCGATTTGATTTGGCTGAATCCAAATCGGAAGATTCGATTCTGACTCAGAGAATCAGTGATTTGGCCATAGACTCAGCTTTAAATGTTTTTTCTACATACCTCAAGGTACCAGGCATGACTCATGAACACTGCAATGCTGGAGAGGATGGAGTGTCATGCAGGGGCTCCCCCACATGCTCAGCAGTGAACTCAGAAGTGGACTGGAAGTGCTTCTGGTCCACTTCTGGGTCTGCTGCTGAGCATGCTGGGAACCCCCCCCCCCC